TGTGAAGTGTTCAGGAAGCAAGAACGGTGGATTGAATCAGTGGTATCTTGATTTGTACAAGTGACATTGTAGTAATAGAGACTAATTTAAACTACAGAGATTAATTTTGGCTCTTTCTCAAATTTTGTTAGGATGTGAAAATTAATTTTTGTGCCTTTACTTGAAGTTAGCACTTGCCCAAAAATTAAGCATATCTGGAAATAGTCTGTTCAATTGAAATTTTTTGCATTCACAATTGACAATACCAGCGTAAATAACAAAATCTTTGTCATTGTTTTTTTTTTTTTTTTTTTTTTTTGAGATTTAAGCATTGCCAGCATGTATGAAATAGAGAGCTTCTTTTACTGAAAATTATAGATAAAATTAACAGTTCCATCAAACATTTCCTGGTTTTTCAGGTAAAATGTAATTACAATATTTTTTTGCTCTGGTGGACACAATTTCTTTAAAAGTAGAGATACTTTCTCTTTTTTTTTTTTTTTGTTTCATCTGGCCATCCATGGCAATCTTTTTTTGAAAGTTTCTTTGTACGTTCTGTAATGTGACAAAAATGTAACTCCTTCTTCAGGTTTATATAAAATTTACAACCGCATGAGGCATGAATGAAAATGTAGTACTAGTTTCATTTGATTTCTGCAACATTGCTTTCAACATTCTTGTCTGATGTTCCAGTATTTGCAGTGTATGTTGTTATTCTTGTTCCATGATTTTTAAGTCCTTCATATGTTGTTGCATGTTTTTTAAATCCCTTTATTGACATGAGTTAAAGAAAACATTGCAATGTCAGAATTATTAATTTTTCAAATGTAAGTTTCAAATTCTTGTCCCTACTGTTATAATGCTCATATAAGTTCTGGTTAATAATATTTCAAGGGAAATACTAGAATAAAAAATTAGTATCTGTCTATATTTCTGAGATGAGGTATTATGTACATTATTTACATTATTTGGACTATGGCACAGTGGATAAAGGCGTTAGTTAGATCCAGTGACAGGACCCAAAGAGTGTGAGTTCAATACCTGGTTAAGGCAGTGGAGAACTTTTAGAGGGAAATTAACAGGAGATAACTGATAACTGACATCCATTAAACATGGCACGTGGAACTAGAACAGTCTACCCCAGCAAGCAAAATAAAGGGTTCACTTTGACATTCCAACCACCTGAAGAAGGCTGGAGCGTACAACGGCTGAAATGTTGTAATAAATATGGCGACAAAGATGAGGACAATAGTCTGAATAATGTAAATAATGTAAAAAAATTAGTGAAGAAACTTTTTAATCACATAGATTAAAAATACAGTAATAGTAAATACTATAGTTTGTGTGGCAATGCATCTGATACACTTTGAGACTACATTGTGTCTCCTGTTACTATGAATGGAACTACACCTCGGTGTGCTCACTGCAACCAATTTCTCACAGTCAAACATATCTTGATAGAATGTAAAAAGTACAAAAAAATATGTAGCAACTATTACCAAGCTTAACATGCTCTTCAAGAATGTACCTACTGCCCAAATAATAGGATATCTGAAGAAAATAAAATACTTCCAACTTCTATAGAAAATAGAGCAAGCATGTTGAACCATACAACTTCTATTTTAAAATAATCCTGAACTATATAACTTCTGATATTTTGAAAACAATTTTAAAACCTCACAACCCCTTGAAATGTTTTGTAATATCCTGAATATTGGGTTTGAGCATTAAATATCACACAGTGGTTGAAAAATGCTGGTAAAACAAATCAACAAATCAACAATACATCCATCTTATTAGAAGAATGTCCACATATAGTGAATGGAACAGTCTATGTGCAATAATTTAGTAAATGAAGGTTGGTCATCTTTGTATGCAACAATATCATACTTATTATAAAACCCAGGTTGTGTGTGTGTGTGTCTGTTCGTTTATATATTGGATCGGATTTCCTACATTTATCAACCGATTTCAACAAAACTTCACAGGACTATGTAAAATTACCTTGCGGTGGTTCTGAGAGCAACCAAAAATTGGAAAAACACAATTGTTTTAGCATGAAATCAATTTAAAAATACGATTAAGAGGCATCATTGTCACCAGAATGAAAGGGGGACAACTCATATCGAGTTATACTTATAAAACCCCGGTTGTTTGTGTGTGTGTGTTCATTTATATATGGGATCGGATTTCCTACATTTTTCAACCGATTTCAACAAAACTTCACTTTTTTTTGGCAGGTAGTGTTTCTTATTGTCTTGCACACTTTTTTCTTTATTTTTACATTCAGAATGCTTTAAAAATTCCATTTACAAGACAATTGTTTACAATAAAATTCTATTCAATCGGTAGACTCATAACGATTGAAAATGTTTTTTGTTTGAGTTTGGGTTTGACCAATTCGTAAAAAAAACAAAAAAAAAAACTAATTAAGACATGCGTGACCATCAACCTTAAACAATAATCTTTGTCAATTTTATTTTTCAGTCTTTATGATGGTCGATACTTGATATATCTCTTACTGTTACATACCCGGGCAACGCTGGGCTCTACTGCTAGTCTGTAATATATATATATATATATATATATATATATATATATATATATATATATATGAGAAAAAACTATACTTACCCAATGAATTTTGTCATCTGATGGACTTTATCAAAGCAAATGACATTTGCCTTGATTAAGTCCGTCACATGATGAAATGCTTCAGCTAAGTATAGTTTTTCCTCTTGTTTTTTTTTTTATCCATTTTGTCTCTTCTACAGACATACTGGGTATAGATGTAACACATTACAATTGCAGTCACTTTTTAACATTGACAGATTGTGGCCCTATGCATTTCACCATAAGGTACCCATTGATGTGTCACGACACATCAGCCATTATATGACAACTAAGATCTGTCTTTTATGAACACAGCCCACCAGTCAAAATATTAACCGACAATGCTCCAACCTTTCATGGCCAAGAATTTCAGACCTTTGCAGATGAATGGGGAGTGAGAGTGTGATACTGGTGTGCCTACATCCCTGAGGGTAATGGTATAGCGGAGCAGTGCCAGTGCAATGGAAAAAGAATTGCTGCCAGAATGCAGTACTCTGTTCAAGACTAGTACAACCTGACTCTCAAGGATGACGCAGCACCATCAACTGCACCAGCAAATGGTACAAGCAATGGGTAAAAGGAATAGATATGGCACCATCACCTATTGAAAGTGTAGATGCTCTGTATCAAGTGGATGTCTCTTGCTTAAAACCCCAAATAGCCGATCAGATTTACTACTGTCGGAGTTAGCTCCTCCTTAGCTCCTTACCTTTCACCAGGAGTCTCTCTCCTCTGGCTATAAATACTCGCTGACCCTTTGCCTCTTCCTCTTTTTTCCTCAGGCTTTGGGCCGCCACCTTGAGGTAAATCTCTTTTTGCCCCAGGCTTTCAGCCTTACCACTTTGCAGATGTGAACACTCACAGATACAGTGTTTCCCAAATGCTGAGAACACGCTAAGAACAATACACGTATGTATGAACACTCAACACAACAGACATATAATATTCACCACACACACTCTGTCCATGTAACTTGTAACCTTTCTTGTTATTAATACATATATTTGTTTACATATATTTATCAGTCTTGTGTTTGTTTTTCCTTGTCTTCTTTGGACTTAATTAAAGTCCAATTTTCTCATGTAGTTGGATCGGCTAGCAGGAAAATCTTAACTCATGTGTGTTCTTCTATTTATACTTAACACTACAGCCATGGTCCTCTACACTACTCACTAGTGATGCTCAAACATATTAGTCTTACTAACAATTTACTCATACCCAGGTAGTGCTATTACATAAATAAAGTAAGTCAAAGAATACATAACAAGTTGATTAAAACAACAAGGATGAGGATATTAATTTAAATGATTTATAGAATAGTTTTTACTCCTTGAAATCACTTAAAAAAAAAACCCAAAAAAAACCCCCCTGAATATATGAGTATCGACTGAAAAGTTTATAGGCAGACCAAGATATAAATGTAAGTAGATACATCAGTCAGGAGACTAAAAGACATTCAAGTGTACCAGAATACAGCAGCTGGCTAACTATGCTTTTTTTTTTTTTTAGTTTAGCAACTAGTGTATCTACTTTAATTTATTTCTTGGTCAGCCTATGAAATTTTCAGCCAAACCTGATCCTTGTATGTTGTTCTAATGGAGAATCAACTATGTGAACACTTAAATTTTTCAATTTAGAAATTTTTGGTTCCATGATGGAGATTCTTGCATAGTTATTTTCAGTAAGAAACAACAAGAGCAAATTTGGAAATAAATACATTTTGTGTATTTTAATCTTTTCAGGTTTCATGAACTGCAAAGGAAGTTTTGCAAAGGTAAGAGGATATATTTTTTTGCTAGATTTGGTTTTTCATACATTTCTACACTGTAAGAAAAGAAGACATTTTTTGAACAGCTTCCTCTTCAACTAATGCTTTCACTAATCATATGAAAATTTCTAGCATTGAAGAAAAAAAAAGAATTACAGATGTGATATTTTGAAAATAATAATGAATTTCATAAAAATCAGTTCAGAAATCATTCCAATTTTGCAAGGGAGGTAATTCATCAACTTTTTTTTTTGCTTAAGAGAGAATTGCTGACAGAATTTTCATTAAATGTTAAAAGAATAAAAAGTAGTTTTATATACATCATCAAACCATAATGCTTATATTTTAGTAGAATGTATTTTGGTCTGATCATTGGAAGATATTCATTAACCTATCAATGCTCACAGTAAAATCTGATATTAATTATAAAAATTAGAAGAAAAATCTAGTATTACTAAAAGGTTTCTATCAGCAAGCAATTATTAGCCACCATCTTCAGTTAATCCCTACTTTATGCCATTATACCCAATGTATATTAGTGATCAGTCTAGGTGATTTCCTTTGTTTTAAATAAATATCCCTTAACAAATTTTGACTGCAAAAATTAAAGTGATATTAATCACAGATTTTGCTTGTTCAGTGTAAAGGAGGCAACAATTTTCTCTTTTTTTGTACACTGGGGGTTGAGATGTGAAGACAGTCTTCTCTTCTTTTCACACCCCTGCTACAGCAATGTGAAAACGGACTTCTTCACATGCCTGCTACAGCAACGTGAATATGGTCTTCTCTTCTTTGCACGCCTGGTACAGCAATGTGAATATGGTCTTCTCTTCTTTGCACGCCTGGTACAGCAATGTGAATACGGTCTTCTCTTCTTTGCATGCCTGGTACAGCAATGTGAATATGGTCTTCTCTTCTTTGCATGCCTGGTACAGCAATGTGAATACGGTCTTCTCTTCTTTGCATGCCTGGTACAGCAATGTGAATACGGTCTTCTCTTCTTTGCATGCCTGATACAGCAATGTGAATACGGTCTTCTCTTCTTTGCATGCCTGGTACAGCAATGTGAATACGGTCTTCTCTTCTTTGCATGCCTGCTACTGCAATGTGAAGATGGTCTTTTCTTCACACCCACTACAGCAATGTGAAAACGGTCTTCTCTTCTTTTCGCACCTGCTACAGCAATATGAAATGAATCTTTTTGAAGTAAAAAATCTTTTTGATAATATCACTTGATCTTTCACTCCAACATCTAATGACATGACTCTTCTCATGCAAACACAAGAATTGCTCAATAATTCATGTCTTTTACAAGTTCATTTGAAAACTTCATTTTGTAATCACCTATAAGTTAGTTAACTAGTATTTATTTCAATTTCATGCACTAACATCAATAACTTGCACAGATAGACACTTAGGTAATTTGTGGAAATACTGTATATACTTGTGTATAAGACATTTTCATATATAGTGTAACCTCTGAATTCTTTTATGTTGTAAGGGACAACAAGAGTGTGTTCATATGGCGGGTGGGGGTGAAACACCTAAATGATTGCTCTCCCAACAACTACAGGGATAATAAGACAGAGTGGAGAAAGAGATGGGAGGTAAAAAAAAAAAATAACACTGCCTCAGAATTCACAGCAACTTGAGGAATAAAAATACCTATGAGACTGATTTCATAAGACACTGTGTCTTGCTGACTGCTGGTTTTCCCCTTGCTTTTATTGGTATGAGGCACCTTACATAGATCTTACAAAGACCCCGATCTTGACCAACTGCAGAGAGGCCTGTATCTAGACATGCTAAACTATCCTGCTGCTAATGGAAAAACCCAAATTTAACTGGTGTTGCCAAACATGTTTGCATGCAATCTGAGGCCTCTTTTGCATCTGTACTGATGTGTATTCACCATATTTTGTATGAATTTTAACCCCACTAGAAAAAAAAATTACCTATATATATATAGCATTTAAAATGCATGGTTTTTAATGTCTTCAAAAAAAAATTACCTGTGTATAATGTGATCCACATTTTTTTTTTGCATAAAAAACTGATCATAAAAACTCTTGCATGCAGGCTAATATGGAACTATAACAAGAAAAAAAAACTATAAAAAAATTCTACTCTGTTATTGTTCAGCATATTTGGTTTTTATTTCACATGCAACCATTAACTTAGATGGCTAAAACACATAATGTAAGTTATCTTAGCAGTTGGTGCCAAACTTTATATCAGGTCATCCCATAAGTTCTGTCCGAATTTTGAATAAAGAAAACAAGTGACCAAATGTTACATTTAATTACAGATTTAATCAACAATGTATTTTACCTGATTATCTATGACTTCCTTCCATCTATTAACAAGCTTACTAATTCCATTACTGTAAAATTATTTTGGCTTTGATTTGAAGAACTCACAAATGTCAGTTTTAACCTCTTCCTGTGTTACAAAAGCTGTTTCTTTCAAATGATTCTGTAAGCTATGAAACAAATGGTAGTCTGAAAGAACAAGATCGGGAGAATAAGGTGGATGAGGAATTTTCTCCCAACCAAGTTCTTTGATCTTTTGTGACATGATTCTTGCTGTGTGGGGTCGCACATTGTCCTGATGAAACATCACCTCTTTTTGATTCACTAGAGCAGGTCTTTTTTTCCTCAAAGCTTGGTTCAAACGCTCTAATTGCTGACAGTATATTTGAGCATTAATTGTTGCATTAGGTGGTAAGAATTCAAAGTAGATTATTCCTTGGCAATCCCACCAGATTGAAAGAAGAACCTCTTGCCCATGAAGTTCCCTTCTCGGCTGTGGCTGGGGTCCTTCTCCTTTACCAAGCCACTGTCTACAACGCTTAACATTTCGATAAAAGATCCCTTTTTCGTCACCAGTCAGAAGTCTATCCAAAAAAGGTGAAACAAGTTGGCGAGAATGGAGAGAAGAGCAGATGTCAACTCGGGATTTGAGGTTGTTTTCAGACAATACATGAGGCACCCATTTTCCAAATTTAGGAACTTTTCCAAGTTGTTGAAGATGACAATGAATAGTTGTATGGTTTGAACTGAGAACCACTGCCAATTCCTCAACTGATAAAGCAGGATTTTCTTCAAGGGCTGATTCAAGAAGCTTTTCATGAAACTTAACTGGATGTCCAGTTCGATCTTCATCTTCAAGGGTGAAATCTCCACCTCTGAATGTTGCAAACCATCTTCTGCAAGTTCTTTCATTCACACATTCCTCTCCATAAACTGAGTGAATGTTTCTAGCCGCCTGTCTGCTGAGTTTCCTTTCTTGAACTCATAAAAGCATTATGTGCCTCAAATGATTCTTGGGTACTTCCATGTTAGCAGGGTTTTAATCAAACAAAATTTAATTTTATTGTTCTCTGAAATAAAATTTGATCAGTTTAAATGCATCTAAACATAAAAATAATGTTCAGCTCCATTAGACATTATAAAATACTCCTTAAATTTTGTTCATTTTAACAAAAGTTAAAATTCGGACAGAACTTATGGGATGACCTGATACTTCAGCCTTCCATTTTCTTTTGACAGTCTTTCTAAGTCAGCTATCAAGTAAGACCTTAAGTTACTTCTCTTTTCTATATCAGCTAATGTGAATATAGTTAATTGCTTGAATAAACTATTTTCCCACTCAAGTTATATATGTAAAATGTTTTCTTTTAAGAATATATTCATTTCCTTTTCTGTTTTCTATGAACAGTTTTACCATATCTTGATAATGGTTATGGTTTGTCGTGATGGTAAGGTAAATTTATTTCCACCAGCCATTCAAATTGAGACTTGAAATTGATCTTTTTTCTCCCACTTACTGCTGAGACATGAAATTGATTTTTATGTTTCTACACCAGCAAAAATAATGTGAAGATGATGTTCTCTTCTTTAGACCCTAGCTACAAAAATTTGAAATCCTCTCCTTGAACTAAAACCTTTTGGCAATATCACTTGACTAGAATTTTTTGCAACAATCTAACATACTACAGTATTTAATATTGTTGAAGTTATTGCTAACATTTTTTGCCAAGGTTTACAAACTGTACATTTTGTTCAATTTTGCAATCCAATCAATGACATTTGAATCTGCTGATTTGTTTGGAAAAAATAAAAACCCTACCTCGAGGTTTAATAATTTTTAAAATTCTTTAGGACTTCATGAAAAACAATATTTTTAAGAAAGTTTTTTTTTTCTTTTTAACAGCAAAGAATAAATTCTTAGAATTTCTTACTCTTGAGCATGCAACATACTACTGGTCATGCACAAATATTTATTTCTGGAGCTTAATTCCAACATTTTCAAGCATTTGACCTGGTGATTTGTTTATAATTCTTGCAAATGCAGGGAGAACTGGAAACTGGATTCTTGTATATAAAAACTTAAAGAAAAGATATGCAAAAAAAATAACTACATTTTTTTTATTAAATAAGAATTTGTTATTTTAATCATGAAATTGTTTTTAAAATAGAGGAAGTAATTTGTATGTTAAATAATAAAACTTTTAATTTTTCCAAAAAAATTAATGAAAATCCATTGTACTAAGCTTTGCACCCTAGTAAAACTAACTGTACTTTGTACCTCCTTACCTGTTTGCTCTTCTCCCAAAAATTTGTTTTTGATTTGTCATTGTATATCTATTTTAGAGGATGTGATGGGCAGACCAATTAAAGTTAGAGAATTTTATATATAGCTATATATTTCAATACAGGTTTGGAAATGGAAACTGTATCTACTAGTGTGAATTTTCTCAAACATGCATAGAAATTAGTAAACATTTTTATTTCCTACAAAATCATTTGTAAGTTTCATTTTATAATAACTAATAAGGTTAGTAGTGGAGTAATGGTTAGTGGCTCAGATTGAGGAATTGAAGAGTTGAGTTTGAATTCCAGTTGAGTTCATTATATTCACTTATGTGCTAATACCCTTGTGAAAAGTGTGAATCTGTCTCTTCTCCCCCAGATATGGGTAAAATAGCAGGACAGATTGGGTCTTATAGCCTTGGATGGCAACCAGTCTAGGAGATGGAAACTGAAGTCAAAACCACCTGCTGCGTTTTAGGTCTTGCCTCTTTTGACTTAGGCTAGAAGAAAGTAACTTCAAAAACAAATTCAACTTTGAGAGGAGGGGCGGGGTAACCTCAACATTCCCAGTGCAAAAGGAACCAGTGATGCATTGCACTGTTCTGCATTGAATATCATCCATGAACCACAATTGTGAGATGGATGTAGCGTTTCCCAACTTTTTCTCAACCAGTGCCCCCTTTGGGCACAAAATTTTTGTCAATACCTCCCCACTGTCAAATAAAACTTAGAATATTATACTGAATTCATCTTTCATAGCAAGATATCACTTAGGTATTAGTACAAAAATAATTTTAATATTGTTTTTATTTCTATTATAAATGCCAATGATTAAAATCCTAAAAGAAACTTTTACTTGATAGCTTATCTCAATGTTTTCAATGTGATGGCTGACTTTGGTATTTACTGGCTAAGGCTTTTGCTGTAGGTTCATTTGATAGCTTATCTCAATGTTTTCAATGTGATGGCTGACTTTGGTGTTTACTGGCTAAGGCTCTTACTGTAGGTTCCATGCTTCTTGGAAGTAATCGTAAATCACCTGGTTTTGTAATTTCCAGGTGGTTTCTTTGTTTAGTAAGAAGATCTGTAACTGCGTTGAAACCATATCCAGCCATATAGGAAGTTGAAAAAGCAATGAAGAAGTTTGATAGCTTTCCACAGCACTTTCAGAAATTTCCTTTTGTAGCCAATATTGAATCATTTTTGAAAATCTGAATCAAATGGATACATGCTCACCACCACTTGAGTATGTTCACTGCCCACCAAATGAAATAAAAAAAAACTCACTTTGGGAAACACTATGCTAACAGAATAAGATGAATGAATAAAGTTAATTAACTATGTGGGAATCATGAAAAATTCCTGGCCTTACCAGGAAGACCTTAAAAATAAAAAAATCTAATCACTTATTAAATTTTGGGAATTGGATTCAATTAATAATTTTTCAGCACCATCTCATACTTTTTATCTTACTAAGAGCATATGTTAAATTAATTAATTAAATGGTAATTAATTAAATTACATAAAATGTTGTCATAACCAAAGCAACAATG